ATTCTTTGAAAAAAAGTGATAAAGTGTTATTTGCCATGAAGTGCCCTGGGTTATTTCTTATACATCTGCCGTAAAAGGAAATCACACATAATATTATTTTTCAGCATGGAAGAAAGAGTGAAACATCATTACAAAGTATGGGAAGGAGAATGTGTTACATGATTCTATTTCCTAGAACATCCTGAGCTAGGCTAGGTGGAGGTGGGGGTAATAAGGTGGTAGTGGGGAAGGTGGTGGTGCTGGGCAGGAATTGGGGATTTAAGACAATACATAACTTGTCTTGCACTTAGCTGGTCCCAGGACACAGTATACCGATAGTGAATATTCCCTCTGAAGTTAGAACAGAATGGGGAAGTAAGAGACACACCCCGAACATATGGAACTCACTAGATAAAAGTCAGAATTTGTCTGTTAGGTTAAGCCAGGCAGAACAATGCAGTCTTCAGCAAGCTTGCCTCACTTTGGCTATTCTCCGACTTTCCAGGACATCATGCAGGCAGGAAATCCCTGGGCTGCATAAAACATACCCATAATTGGTCCCGTGACTAGAACTTATATATCAAGGCAGGCCTTGAGTCGAGCTTGGGCTACACCAGATCTTAAAACAATGTCTATTTCTTTGAATTCATTTCCATGTTGATATTCTGTGAGCTGCTGTGTTCTTTTCTGATGTTTAACTGAAGTGCTACTGTCTTCCACAAGCCAGTCTAGTAACACAATGTTTTTTGGTCCCTTAGGGTTTTTGGAGCAGCCATTTTCCTAACATCAACTTTGAACATGTTCATTCCTTCTGCTGCCAGAGTGCATTACGGCTGTGTCATGTGTGTCAGGATTTTACAAGGTCTAGTGGAGGTAGGAGATACTTTCTGTAGTTTTCAGTATTGCTGGAGACATTGTAGTCCTTTGGAAAATTCACTTTCTGAAGAAAACATCTTGGCCTGCTCTCTTACTTCTCTGGTTATGACTATAATTTTAGAATTTTTAGTAAAAATGTCTATGTGGGTCCAAGTTTATATGAAATAAAATGTCATTTTATAGAAGCATAGACTTTCAGAGCCAGGAAGGATCTTAGCGATAATCAAATCCAACTCTCTTTATTTTGATAGATGATGAAACTGAAGTTCAAAACCTACATTTCATACAGCCAAGGCGCTTTCCATTAATGACATTTATATGGATTTATTACTTATTTTATAAATTTCCAAGGGTGCAGTCTTATGAAGATATTTAACTCAATGAAGGAAGCAGCATGATACAGAGCCAGATAGTAAGCATTTTGGCCTTTGTATGCTATATGGGCTCTGTTGCAGCTACTCCACTCTGTTATAGTGAGGAAAAACCATAGACAATATGTGAACAAGTAGGCATGCCTACATGAATGTTTCAATAAAACTTAGAGACACTGATATTTGAATTTCATTGAATTTTTGTATAACATGAAATTCTAGACTTTTTTGGATCCCCCTCCCACCATTTAGATGTAAAAAAACACACACACAAAAAACTCATGAGCTATACAAAAAAGACATCCAGTTGAATTTGGATTTTCAGCTGTCATTGGCTAATTCCTGATGTGATGTTTCCCAAACTCTTTAGTCATTTACCTCTTACCTTCATGCCTTTTGTCAACTTGCAACTTGTACTATTATTTACCTATTGTCTTTCCTTAGATAACTCACTTTGTAATAAACAATTATCACCCAAAGCAATGATATCTTTGAAATCATAGGTCTTATGTGCTAGTTAAATCTTTCTCAAAAGCATATTAAAATATATATGTGAAAGTTATCATTAAGAACGTAGGTGTACCTCTTCATATCCATCCCACATTTTGGGAAATACTGATGTGCTGGAAAAACATGATGTTATCAGTCATGGATACCAGGTTCTAGTCACTTTGTGACTCTGGAGTCAGGTTCTGTGTCTTGAAAGGAGAATGTGGACCAGCTGATTATGGAAGGCCCTTTCTACTGGTACTCTATAATAACCCAAATAGAAATGTTCCCCTTCCTATTGTCCACCACACTATATTCACATTTCATCTGTGAATCAAAATAGCTAACACATGCTGTTAACATCTATAAATTGGACTTTTATAACGTAATCCATCTGAAAAAAGCAGGATCCATTGTAAATATAAACAAAAACCAGAGTAATTTAAAAATATTGCATCTTCAACCCCTTCCTAGGGTGTGACCTACCCAGCCTGCCATGGGATGTGGAGTAAGTGGGCACCACCTTTGGAGAGAAGCAGACTGGCCACGACCTCTTTTTGCGGTGAGTGTATTAGAATCATGATACATTTAAGGATGCTTTAGGCTTCATGTAACTGAAAACCCTATATCCATTGCCTTCAAGTTGATTCCACTTATAGAGACCCCATAAGATAGAGTAGAACTTCTCCTTATGGTCTTCAAGGATGTAAATCTTTATGGCAGTAGACAGCCTCATCTTTCTTATATACAGCAGCTGGTGGCTTTGAACCACTGACCTTGAGGTTAGCAGCACAACACTTGACCCACTACACCACCAGGGTTCTCTGAAAACCCTAAAAGAGCTTTAAATCAAGTCTGTTTTTCCACATAGCTGAAGTCCAAAGGTGAGTGGTTGCAGGCTCTGGTTCTTTTACTTAATAATTAGTCAAGGGCCTATGCATGCTCTGACTTTCTATTCTGCCATCCTCAGAGTGATAGCTTTTTATTCTCATATAGGATAAGCACTGGATCACAAGGTCGGTTTCAACCACAAGGTCATCAGTTTGAACTCATCAGCCACTCCTTGGAAACCCTATACAGGGTTGCTATGAGTCTGACATGATTCGAAGGCACTTAACAACAACATTCACAAGATAGCTGTTACAGCTCTAGGCAACAAGTTCACATTCAAAGCAGGAAAAGATGGGGAGGAGAGCCCTAACTACTTCTTATCAGAAAAGTGAAAGCTTTCCCAATACCCCCCAATAGACTTCCACTTATATTTCCTTGCTCCTAATTGTGTTATGTACTTTAGAAGCTGCAAGGGAAGCTGGAGTGTTAAGTGCCCAGTGTTCCTAACCTTTCTAGTGTAAAAGCAAGGTAGAAAGGGTTGGAAATGGTTACTGGATTAGTTAACATATGATAAGTACTGAGGTCAAAAGCAGAAGAGTAATCCACCCTTTTAAAAAATTGAAGTGAAAGTCATATATCATACAACTAACCATTTAAAATTGTACAATTCAGTGAATTCACTATGATCTGCAACCACCATCTCTCTTTAGTTTCAAAAATTTAAAAAACCCACCTTTTTTTAAATTGTGAATTGAGTGAGGATTTACAGAGCAGATCATCATTTACATTCAACACACCATGCTCTTCATTTTATGCCATCTCTTCAATGTAACATCACTCACCCCACTTCTGCCCTGTGCTTCTTGTCTCCATTCCTCATCCTTTTCCCACCTTTCTCAATTTTGTCCTTAGGTACATGTTGCCCTTTGGGTACTGAAATGTTGACCACTCTATGGTGTGCATACCTCACTAATGTTGTTGTCTGTTGTCTATTGCTTGACTGAAAATTGAGCCATGGGGGTGAGTTCAATTCCAGACCTGAAAGGTAACCAAGAGCCATAATCTCAGGTTTTCACCCAGTACTATCTGACCAGTAAGCCTG